GTCCCGTGTTCCTTGAATGATGCGAGGGATATTGCATTGGCTCGGATCCGGAATGGAGGAAAGAAAGGAAACGAATTCCTGGTTTCCAATGGGCATGAAGCCGAAATCGGGACCTCTGACGAGAGATTCCGATCGGCATTCGGAACGCGGCGTTTGGTCCGCTTTTCGGTCGATTTATTCTGGACCTTTTTCTCTTTACTGCTCGTACACCAACAGCAGCAGCCGCTTGCTGAACGACGACGATAAACTTTGCGCTCCGGGTTTTCTCTCTCTCTCTCTCTCTCTCTCTCTCTTTTTTTTTCCTTTTCGTTCAACGAGATGGGAATCGCCGGAAGCTGCGTGGCGGTTTTAATCACACCCGTCGTATAACTCTTGTCGAGATGGCTCGTTGAAAATATGCGGTAGTATAGAGCGATATTTACGCCCAAGTCCGGGTGGAACGGGTCACCGAGTTCCCATACGTTCCGCACTGCCCACCTTGGGTCCTGTACGTGTGTAGTACAGTAAAGTACAGTACTGCATGTATAGTGCAACTTTCTCCAAGGGAGGACCATTGGCTTTACGTCTGTCGAACTGGCAAACGGGGCGATCTGGTCATGGGATTTGGGTTACAATCTCTCAGTCGTCGATTTTTTGCTTTCACTAAAGAAAAGAGAAGAAAAACCAGGAGGAGGAACACTTTTTTTTATTTCTGTGTTGGTAATGCACACCTCGTCCATAACGTTGAAATAAAGTTGAGCCACCATAACTCGAACCTCCCCAATAAGTTGAATACCCCCTCATTTAGAATAGTATTCAATTCGTTGAGAAACAATGCATGAAAAACCTCGTGAACTCAAACCTCTAGGACTCGAATTTTCCAGAGGCGTTTTGGACATTACTTGATTGACACTGGAAAGATAAAAGCAATACAAATTTAACTTGATTTGCTCAAAACGAATTGTAAGACTGATTGGGTCAAAAACAAATCCCATGCCTTCAATTTCACCATCCGATCAACTCATTCAGGGAGAAATTCGATGCCCAGAATGTCGCCAATGAAAATCAAAATTTCCTGGAATTCTTCTCAACCCCCGCACACACACACACACCTCTTTCAAAATACATTTGCCCCTATTTCCAAATCACCCTCACACAAATTTTTTTCTTCTCGCTGATCCATTGAATACGTTCAACTTGAAGAGGTTCCACTACTATCACACAATGTATGTCCTCTCTCTTTCTGGCGGCGTGCGTTTGTGTGAATTGATTTCGTCGCCGTCCCCCGACAGACGAGGTCTACGAAGGAGTAGAATACAGTTCAGGACAGTTTAGTACAGGGCAGTACAGTACACGTACGAGACGACTGTACAGGCATCATCTCGGGATTTACGGTCGGAAATAAGCGCGGTCCCGTGGCGGGAAACGTTGCCCGGTACTGAGAAATGCGCGATGAATCATGTGCGAGGGACGGGAACTGGTGCTTGTTGGCAGCTGGACAAGATTTTGACGCGTCGTCGTGCCGCGGGAACACGCGATCCCGTCATGTATCATGTGCTTTTCCATTTACCACGCATATTTATATTTATCGACTCGCTTACTTTCTCACTCAACTATACGTGCCATTTCTTTCATGTTCTTCTGCTGTCCCGTCTTGTGCTTTTCCCCACGCGTCACGTCGTGGATGATCTGCTTCAGGTGACACCTGTTCTTGACGCCGGAACTGTGAAATCGTTGACCGCATTTACAAGGTGTCAAGTCAGGTCAGGCCAGATCTGACCGAGTGGAAAGGCTTTTTTTTTCTTCTTTGCGGTGGTTCTGGAATCATTGCGCGGATCAGTCGCATTAATCTATGCATAGCCCTGAGATTCCCCTCTTTCTGTTTCATTTTATTGTTTGAATAAAAAACCACGACTCCTTGTCAGACTACCTTCTCGGCCAGCAAAGCTCAAGACTTGGAGTTCGGCAATCTCTTTAGAAGTCTAGACTCTAGAGCAGTGGTGCCCAACTCAGAAGTGGCCAAGGGCCACGTTGAAGTAGAAGAGCATTATGTGGGCCACAATGGAAAAAAGGAAGAAATGTTGTCTAGTACATTGTATAATTCATGAATTTCTGGGATGGTTTAAGTTTAAACTATTCTAATTTATAAGCAATCAAGTTCTAGTCTAATCAAGTTCAATAAGTATTTAAAGATTTTCATTATCTGGCTATCTGACTTTTTTCATCTACAAACTTTTCTGCTTCATTTTTACTGATACAGTTCAACTTGCATCTTCATTAATTTATGACTGGATTTTTCTTAATGGAATCATAGAATTCAATCTGCAAAACTTTTCAAAAAGATTCAACCAAAGTCCAAAAGCAGTAAGTAAGTGAAAATTATGAGTGAATTTGAATGTTTCAAACACTAATAATAATCAGGTTGTCTGAGGACAACCTGCAATTTTAGTGCAATTGAAAACTCCCCAAGATTCACTAAGAATCTGGAGAAAACCAGAAAATACGTGTATAAGAAAGAAACATATTTTGTGCAAAGTTGCTTTGAGAGAGCATCAAATTGTCTTTGTATCTAAATGTCCATGTCTCCAAGTGTCCCTGTCACTAAATCACTGTGGCTCAAATTGGCCCTCTGTCTCAAATTGACCCTGACTCAAATTTTCCATCTCAATTGGCCCAGTGTTGAATTGTCTTTCTAAATTTGTCCATATCCCTTCACATTTGCATTTTTACATGATGGTCTACTTTTGTTCATGCTATTAAAAAAATTAAGCTGCTTTATATCTTTCCCTCATCAAGATATGCAATTAAATTAAAAACATGACAGAAAATGCTGGGGTAGGATATGAATTAAAAAATTGCAAAACCCTGTCCTTTAATCTGAAAAACAGAATGACTGACATCACAAAGCAATGCAAACTGTTCTTTCTGGTTAGAAGGAATCATAACAGAATTTAAGAAGCCCTAATAAAATTCCTAATAAAAATTGCAGGCTGAAGACGTCTTGAAAAACTTGCACCTTGACTTTTTTGAGGGTCAAAATATTTTTTGGAGATTTTCCATGCTGGCTCCGCTGGCCAGATGAAAAGCCTCCGCGGGACAGATCTGGCCCGCGGGCCGTATCTTGGGCACCACTGCTCTAGAGTCTAGACTGTCTAAAGAGATTGCCGAACTAGACTCTAGACTCTAGAGTCTAGACTCAAGAGCTTAGGTGTATCCCGAAATTACATAAATCGTGTTGTGATTTCCGTTATTTCCCCCTCATCCGCAGACACGGGGTATGATGCGAACCTAAGACAGCCATTGCACGCCACTTTATCGCTAGAAGGCCGACCAAAATTCCTCCAGGGGTTCTATACTTTTTTTTCTTTTTTTCTCGATGGAATGTTTGAATTTATTCATGTGCCGGTCGAATTTCATGAAGACATGCTCTTCTTCTCTTCCATTTTTTTTCATTGGTTGCCCAGCATGTCGCATTAAAAATGTTCTTAGGATCAATTCATGCTTATAGGGCAATACATTACTCTTCTTCCTGATAACCGATGTTGTATTGAACGGCGTTTTAAAAAATGCGGAGATGATGCACTTTGGAATCCATCTGTATAGCTTGGTATGCGAGGAACGTCCGCCTGTCTTAGGAATCTTCACATGTACTGTAGCATTTCTATAATGCGAGCTGCAAAGGCTGATGCGTCAACGAGTTGGTCGATTCCCCAAGTTTAAATCTTTGTGTGTGACTGACTGTAATTTTTCATGTACAGTACTTCTGTACTACTTTTACAGCAGTGCAATACTGCACTTGTGTAGTTGAGAAATAGTGAGTGATCACAGCAGAACTGAACTTGAATTCTGCGACGCCGACTTCATCCGCTGCTTAGTTTTAACCCATTACCTGCCGAGAGCCGCATTTGGGACTCATGAGATTTTTGGACCCCCAAAAAATACGGTCAAAGCAAAAATTACTAAAAAACATGCAAAGCATTCACATCAAAGTTATCTACCATTCAAGACCTCATTTGTTTCTTTTTGTCCATTTTTAAATTTACAGCATTATTTTTTCTGAAGCCAACTTTCAAATTCCTTTGGAAAGTTAAAACATGATGTTTGGAATGCAAGAAAAGTACTTTCTAGTGCAGATAAATTCAAAATTGTGTATGTCCTTGTAGCCTGAGTATTTCTCAATGCTTTGGCATATTTTGTTTTTTTCTGAAATTTTTATCAATTACAACAAGTTCCAGAACCTTGACCCCCAAATGAGCCTCATGGCAGTTGGGGTGTAAAAAAATAATTTTCAAATTTTCTTGAAAATGTTTCCAAAAAGTTCCATATCCTGAATAAACCTGTCTGCTGGGTTGAGCAAACAGAAGTGATGATAAAAACATGTTGAGCAAAATGTATTTCATTGTAAATCAAATTTTTCAATTTTTTCTGTAATTGTAATAAATATAATTTTTGTGATAAAATTTTTTGAAGATACCCTAAGCTATCAAACTTCATCTTACAGTTGAAAAATGCTAGGAAATTACTTGGTTTACAGCCTGGATGCTGTTCATAGAATTTTGTAGCTTTTACAAAAAAAAAATTTAGAATTATTTTGAAAATCATAAAAAATGTATATGCATTTCATTCCTAATGGTATTCTTGTATCTCAAATGGATAAGAAGATATGTTTGCACTCACATTTAGCTTAAAATGATAAAATTTAGCCAAAAAATGCAAAAAATTTTTCTTCTAATTTATAACAGATTTTTTCATTTGTAAAGAAGGAGATTTGACCTGCCCTGAGCCCCATTTGGGGATCAAACAAAAATTCAAATAATTGACAACATTTTGAATTTAAAAATTGGGAAAAATGTCCCCAGCCTATCTTCATGTAAATGAAGTGAAATGGCACAAAAAGGGGCATGCAGGAAATTTGGCAGTTAATGGGCCAATCTGAACAGTACTCGCACAGTTGCAGTACCGTACAGTACCATAATGTACGTTCGTTTCACGCGTAAACCCGATTGACATGACTAACGGGGATGGCAACTCGGATTTGCCAACTCGAAAACGGCGTGATGATGAGTTTTGATGGTGTGTTATTGGTCTCTGGCCCGCAGCTGGATGCCAACAAGAGTCCGCTGGCCCTGCTGGCCCAAACGTGCAGCCAGATCGGCGCGGACTTGGGGCCTACGCACCCCAAGATCACCAAGGCCTCGTCGGCAGTCAACGGACGCGTCAAGAAGGACTCGTCGTCGTCGAGCGTGAGTCCGGTCGACAGCCTCAAGCACTCGGGCCTCCTGGCCAGCCCATCGCCGTCCCTGGACAAGTGCCGCTCTCTGGACCCGGGGGAACCCGATCATCAGGTACGGTACAGAGTGCTTATTGTCACTTTCCTCTGTCTCTTCCGCCCCCGCCCCCCTCTATTTGTAGCGAAAGGGTCACGTGTTTAGTGTGCACTTTCCATTGTCACACTGTACGCGCATTTCGACCATGCCTATATAGGTCAGAATGTGATGTTAAATGATAACACTATATATATATACTGGACATGGAGTTATGAAGGGTACGCACGTACGCCACCTCATTCGCACCCTCTCATACTGTTTCGGCCTTTCCCTGCTGGGACCTGGAACGAGTTGTATGCTGCATGGCATGAATTCATCTGGTCTGGCAGCAGTCCCGTCCCACTGATTCCTCGTCCGATTCATGAAGGGGGAACGATGCCTTTTGTCCATAAGCGGCATCACAGAATAACCATCCAACATTTCAGACGGAAACCATATAAGAAATGCCACCGCGGGTTAGTGGGGTGAACGCAGTTTCCTCGCTGTGCGGGTTCCTGACTGAAATTATGAAAGTACCGGTATTGTGGGGAAGCGGAGAAATCATCCATCCGCATGGTACAGTGCTGACGTGAAGGCTACACGTGGAGAAAGATTCGGTTTTTTTTTTATCGGTGAAATCGGGAAGAGCAAACACCCTTACCTCGAAAGATGTGTTGAATTTAAGGGAGGTTAAATGAAAAAGGGAAGAAATGAAAAAAAAAAACCTTTTCCAGCGGGGAAAGAACCACCCCAGGGTCAGTATGTAGCGAATACTGTATTGCGTGTGTAAAACTGCCGATATTAAAGCCTAAAAATAATGCAATAGAGTCTCCCCTGTTGAAAAAAAGAGAAAAAAGGTTTTAAAATGAGGAAGGCTGTGAAAAAGGAAAAATAAATGTTTTCGTCGTACGTTCAGTACTTTGCGAGTCCCCCTTCCCTCGTTTCGCTTTGACGCCGACTTTTCGCGTGATGGACGGCTTGTCATAAAACGTGTTCGCTTCCCGCGTGTCATTTCCACCGCGGGTCCCTGTTTTATGTACCCATTTGCGTCACTTCTTTCAGAATTTAACCCAGCTGTCTTCTTTTTTTCCACCCCGTCTCATTCCTCCGTTTTGCTTTCCAGGAAGGACCAATGGAGAAAAACTAAATAAATACCGGTCCTGTTGCTCTTGTTTATTTTCCTGCCGTTGATGAGGAAAAAATTGATAATTTCGAAGTCATTTTCCGCTCCGTTCATGTTTGTTTACTCGATCCATGAATCAATTATTTCCACGTTTGTTCGTCCTAGTTTCTTCTTTTCTTTCGTATTTTACGGTTGGACGCAGTCTCATAGCTCCGGTCGTTCAACGAATTTGCAATGATGATCGAGGAAAAAATGTACTCTCAAAGATATCAAGATGAGAGAGGCCATACGCACAGTACTGTATTTAGAACCAAGGATTTCGGTCCTTGTTACGAAAAGCAATTGTCGTCTAGCGTTGCGTGTTCCTTTCTTATCGGATCTGCTCAGGCATATATTTCGTCAAGTATCAGAACCGACCTACGAATTCGACCTACTACCTGAAGACATCCATGAATACCCAAACATTCAGCTGATTTTGCTTTAGGGGATCACGATGCGATTCTACAGGCTGAGTATATAGAGCAAAATGCAGTGGACCAAAAGAAAATCCGCTCTACGGATAGAATCGTTATATAGAGGGAGTCTATTCCAGTAATAATTCTGTTCGGGAGCTTTGGTTAGCTCTTGAAACTTTGCAGTAGTTATAGTACGTTTTTCAAGGTTTTTTATGTTTTCCTTGTCCTTTTGAGCTTTTAAATTCAGTGATCACATTCGTGAGCTTTGGCATCCTTCTAGAATTGTGTACAGGTTGGATTCTCTGCGACGAAATTCAGGGGACCGAAATAAAATTCGTTATCCAGATAAAATGTTTTTAGAGAGAGTCTACACCTCTATTAGCAGACGAAAATTGAAACCAACCAAAGCTAAAGGGAATTCATTCTACCCCATTTATCACACGTGCCGTTCTTTAACGACACGTGTACGAGCGCTGGGGTGACAGATATCGGAGCAATGCTGGATGAGACAGATTTCCGAATGGAATGGAACAATCATAAAGTCCTGACTTGAACACTGTACAGTGGTTGGAAAGTTTCTCATGAGCATTAGAATGCGTCGCCCAGAAGAACGGCGAAAGAATGGGCGGAAACATAATTGTTGGGGGTTCCTTTTTACTTTGCACCTTTACAACGTACAGGGCTGTGCGTCAATTCCACAATGTTGGCTCGTTTCGTCCTCTCACCCTGAGTTAGTACATGTACGTTGGTAACGCAGTTGAAGCGAGACCCTTCCGATGCGAGTTGGTAATCGTCGCCGAAGGGTGATGGATTCCCTCCCAGACCACCGTTGAAGGATTACAGTACTTTACAATAGCATTAGTTGTGTTTATACAGTAAGTGTACAGTGCCTCTGTCCGTGCATGTACGCGTGCGGTATACATTTCTTGGAATCTAGGAAGCGCATCTTATCGTTGCGTATGTTCGAGGAGGTGATGATGATAGTGGTGATGATCGGTCGGTAAGAGTGGTGTGTGTGTGGGGCAGAGCAGAGCCAAGTACAGTATAGAGCAAGAAATCGGCGACGACGCGTTCTCGGGCTCAATATTTCAGCGCGGGGCATTGTAAATAAATGGTCGGGGGAGAAAAACGGTCGGAGGATTACCAGTCGGTGTCACATTGGTGCCCCGGCGCTGTCAGCGTGATGAATGGGTTTTTAACGACTCCTGCTGCCTGCTTCCTGCAGCCAGGCCCTCATATGTCTTGTCATCTGCTCATCCATCTTCCGCCTCATTCTCTCCCTCTCGTCGGCGAGAACGGAACTGACTGCTAGAGTGAAAATGAAAATACCGGGTGAAAAAAAAAAAGGTGGGGGCGAGGAAAGAAGGAACGCGCGACTCGTGTGTCAGGCCGAGTACAGGCGGACAGGCAGACTGGCTGTCGAAATAATCGCGTCGCTCACCGTTTTTTTTTTTTTTTTTTTTTTTTTTTTTTGCTTAGAATCCAACCTGTACACAATTCTAGAAGGATGCCAAAGCTCACGAATGTGATCACTGAATTTAAAAGCTCAAAAGGACAAGGAAAACATAAAAAACCTTGAAAAACGTACTATAACTACTGCAAGGTGAAGCGTACCAAACTCGATCGCGCCCAATTTGCGTGTAGGTCGTGATGAGGAGAAAAAGAAAAGACAAGAAGAAAGAAAGAAAGGGCTGAGAAAGACGTTGCCGTGGAATCGGCGGTAATCATGTCGTGCATCATTTCCGCCTGTCTGGCGGTAATTCAAACTCGGGTCGATGGGCCGGGGAGGGAGAGTGATGGAATCAAGTGATGGAACACAGCAGCCGCGTGAGCTGGTCTGTCGCTGCATGAAAATGTGGCATCGACGACCTGATTAAAGCACACGTCGCTCGAGTCCACATTTCGATTCCTTGCTCTTCGTCTGACCCGAGTTGAGTCCCTTCTTTCAAATCAGTTGCCCCTCCGACGATGCCCTGGCCGGCGAAAGAAAACAAATTTCAGCTGTTTCAATTCCATTCCGTTTCTCTCCTTTTATACTGGAATTGAAACGAATTTCTCTGCTGAAGAAAACAAAAGGTTAAATTCGATATCTTATCTTCGTTTTTTGTTGTTTTTTATCTTTGGGACGTTTCGAAATGATAAATTTCTCTGCAGTTTTTGATGAAAGTCGCGAGTGACCCGATATTTCTTAGTGGCCATGTAAGTAAATGCGAGCCAATGCTGTAGATTTCACCAGCAATGCTTGTGGTCAATGAAGGAAACACAAGTAGATTTTAGGTCTAGTGAGCCTCCTTATATGCCTCCAGCACGCCTGTATACATTTGTCTCTCTGTAAGGCGAATTTCGAGGTAAAAAAAAAAAAGTATTGAGGTTTCCAGTCGAAGAAACAAGCCTTTCTGCTGTGGGAAGGATAGAAAAAGTTGCAGGAACTTGTAAAGGGTGATATTCTGGGCCTTGAATTGTTTCCAACAAAATGCTTTGCCAGGATGCTGAACTTAAAGTCAAGTAGGGTTCTTTTGCTCCATTATTCTTTCACTTCGTTTCAAGGCTCATACTGTATTTCAAGTCACTGATTAAATTGCGTTTCTCTTTCCTGTGTCAAAAAAATAATGGCCAAACGACTTCATAAAGTTTTGGAGGTTTGAGAGAAAGAGCCTTCGAGTTATAAGTAGACGCATTGTTTTTTAGGGAATTCAAGCGGGGACTTGAAAAAAAAAAGTGCACTCAACTTGAGGAGGTTCGAATCATCCAGGTTCAATTGATCACGTGAATATTGCATGTACAGTCTATGGCGAACATGGCCGTACACGGCTTGAAGAAAGAATTTCCAGTAGTTTCGCGCCATTACACGTGTCGCGTTCACGAGGCCACCAGAGCGCGGACGTTGTCGCATCAGTGATTCGACGCCGTCGGGTAGCGTTTCCAAGAATGATGGATGATAACTTGGCGAACAGCAAGAGGACAAGGAGAGCTAGGAGAGAGAAGGGAAGGAAAGGAAAGGAAAGGAAAGGAAGGAGTGGGAAGGGTAATAGGCAGGCGAGATGATGAGCAAAGTACAGTACAGTAATAGCGGAAGCGTTGGATTTAGTGCACTCGTCAGCCAGCGTTCGCTTATACTAGCCGTACACGCCTCGGCTCCGCGCGGTGATCATCAGGGCCCCGTTGGCATGAGCTAGGGAGCGATTGTCAGCGCGCAGGTGATGGATGAGGCGCGGATAACACGCCTGGCACCTGGTAATGCCACTACTGCTGCTCCTGCCGCACACTTTTTCCTGTTGATGCCGCGACGTCCGAATCCCTGGCATGTCCCCCTCCTACGAACACACACACAAAAAATGTATCTATGTCTCTCTCATCGTCAGCAGTCGGACGATAAAGGGCTTTTTTGAAACTTACTTTTACGTGTCTGTCACGATTGCTTAAAATGACGACGATAACAACAAACATGGATGAAATAAAAAGGTGGCTGTCATACTGCAATAAGCGGTGGAAAACGTCGCACATAGGGAGACATTTGAGGAAACTGAGAGGCTCGACGATCTACTTGTGTACTCTAGTGAACTCCTGAATATTGTAGCACAGCAGAGTACAGTACAGACTCGAGAACAAATATACAGCATATCATCGCATTCAGAGGAGTATATCCGATGTTGGATGAGCCATTGAGCAAGTTTACAAACACCGCAAGTGTATACATACTGTATAGAAACGGTACAGTAGTTGAAGAAAAAAAGTCCAACCAACACAATTGAATACGTACTGTATAACGAAACCCGATGCTCTTTCATTCGAGAGCATTGTAACTCCACTCTCAGACCTTTGGTCCCCAAATTATTTTTCCCTCTCGGGTTCGCAGAAAATTCTTTCCAACTATACTGTAGATGCTTGCAGCAAAAGCGCGGTTTCAACTATAAGATTGGCATCCGGAACAGAGATAGAGAGCACCAACGCCAAAAAGTGAAACAGAAGAAGAAGAAGTTGAAAGATGAAAAATGGAGAAATGTTTGCTCACTGCAGCGACGGCTGATGATTTTGCGGTATAGGCGGAGAGCGCCTTTGACGTGGCTCGTCAGCCTCGGCGTTTTGACGCCCCAACACTGACAACCGCGAAGGGAAAGTCTATCAATTTCCTCGCCGAGGAAATGTCGCCCTCCTTTTTCTTCACTCCCTCGTGTGTTTCTTGAAAATAGGGTGAAGCAAAATGCTCACCAGTGCTTCTCTCTGACACGACGCCCGGAATAAATGGATATCGCGGTACTGAATTGGAATACAGTAATAGAAACGATAACAAATAAAAAGGACGAATGAAGAGTGGATGCTATAATAATGTGATGAACGTGACACCCGAACGCAGTCTTACAAGATGAGCAGTCCTGCTCACGACGCAGATAATCGAAAAACCCAGGGTCCTGATCCTGCGGCTGACTATACTTGTCTGTCACGCACTGTACAGCATCGCGTACGGAAGATCCGTCCCAAGCGCATTCAGTCCCAAACGGTAAGCCCTTTAATCCCCTTTGTCATTGGGGTGGCGCGCCACCCAAACTGACCAGCTTAATTCTTTTGTTATTTCTTGGAACCCGCGGCAGCTTTCCCTGACTTTTGGCGCCATATGAATTTTGGAACTTCTTTAAAATTTTTAAATTGTGTTCNATGTTATTTGGTATCGTTTTCTTCGTTTTTTTGAGAGGGAACACAATTTAATAATTTTAAAGAAGTTCCAAAATTCATATGGCGCCAAAAGTCAGGGAAAGCTGCCGCGGGTTCCAAGAAATAACAAAAGAATTAAGCTGGTCAGTTTGGGTGGCGCGCCACCCCAATGACACAGGGGATTAAAGGGCTTACCGTTTGGGACTGAATGCGCTTGGGACGGATCTTCCTAGTACCTACAGCATCCAGTACAGCATCTCCGGCGCGAATGGGCAAGGGATTGGCCCGTCAAATTCAGCGCTTGACAAAAAAAAGGGGGGGGAATGGAGGAGGTTAGGAGAGAGAGAGAGAGAAAATGGGGAGTGGCGTACGCACAACCACATGTATAGACCACATCTCAGCAGTTGATGCCAGCCAGCATCAGCGCTGATGGGGAACAAGACGGATCGAGGTGTCAACGTGGCGCCGCCCAAGTACTGAATCTCATCTTGTCGGTGTGTGTACTCGGAAACTGGCATTCATTCACTCAGCAGCCCTCGCGGAGATCCCCGATGAGCTTCTCGCAAACGACGACGATGGAATAAAGCCTTCCTCTTCTTCTTCTCCTTTCCTTCTTCAATCCCGTCATTCACTTCCCACTTCCCGTGTGACACACGCACACACTTGAAAGAGTATATAGTGGAGGACTCTCGCTCCTCGCTGAGTGACGACGACGACGACGACGACAGAGGGAGAGAGAAGCAGAGGGCGGCAATTTGTAACGGTCCTCCCGCTTTATTTTCTCTGGTCGTCATCTCAGTCTTCTTTCTTTTCCTTTTCCTTTTTTTCTTTTGCCAAGACAAGACAAGTTGTAGTCGTCCCATTCCTGGCTGGCGCGGAAGAGGGTTTTTAGAGTCGTCGGATGCGGCTTTCGTCTCGTCTCGTTTCCGCGTCAAGCGGTGACACGAGCCAAGTCAGTATTAGCCTGCAGCTCTCTTTATTGTCGGTATTCGCGAGCAAATCTATTCTCCGATTTCCTTTCGGAATTGAGACAGGCGGCTTTTGTTCTCGCGGACTCCAAGCGAGCACAAGTTCCATAGTCGGCGTGGACGACGATGGGAACGTTTTTTGTTTCTTTTTTTGTTTTTCTTGCGGGTCATGTTGATGGTCTTCATTGAGACAGATTTTGAAGATTCACGCCATGATGAAATTTCCTTTCGGAATTGAGACAGGCGGCTTTTGTTCTCGCGGACTCCAAGCGAGCACAAGTTCCATAGTCGGCGTGGACGACGATGGGAACGTTTTTTGTTTCTTTTTTTGTTTTTCTTGCGGGCCATGTTGATGGTCTTCATTGAGACAGATTTTGAAGATTCACGCCATGATGATGATGCGTATATCTGCTTTTCTTCTTTTTTTTCTTGTGTAGTACACAAGCACCGCATTTTCATTCATTGTTGCACAGTACTGTATTTATTTCCGAATCCGAATGGTCGCTCCTGTGGCGATTCGATCTTACACTTTACGTCAAAGCCAATTTCCGTAATGAAACTTTCTCTACCAGTAAAATTTATTTTCAAGGTTAGCTGCAGTCAGTATTAATATATATTCACGGGTGTTTTTTTTCCGAATGCGCTCGTTATTCTGTTGTGTATCGTCCATGATAGCGTTTCCAAGAATGATGGATGATAACTTGGCGAACAGCAAGAGGACAAGGAGAGCTAGGAGAGAGAAGGGAAGGAAAGGAAAGGAAAGGAAAGGAAGGAGTGGGAAGGGTAATAGGCAGGCGAGCTATATGCTGCTGCATGGGAGGGAATCCGGTGTGTCGAGGCGGCGAAGGGTTGGCTCGTTGCTGGCACGCGAAAAAGGGGTGATGGTTTCCGCGTCGGTGTCGTGTCGACTCGACTCGTGCCACCTGACGACACACTGACAGCCGCAGCAGTCGCCGAATTTGCCTCGCTGACATGATGGATGATTTGCTCGCCCGACCCGTCGTCGTCGTTAGCGGCGAGTGCTGGTGCCAAGTCGGGACGGAGACAGGCAGAAATAGCCTCCGCCCGTCCGTCCGGTACGTGTAGCTGCTGGGCTGGGTGGATGGACGGACGGACGGACGGACGGACCACAGCGGACAGGCTTCTTCTCAGCTCACCAGCAGCGCTCTCAAGAACTCATCACAACCGACCAGCAGCAGGGGCAAGCACTGCAGTACTCTTCAACAAACGGTTATTCCATTTATTAAAAAATAAGAAAAAAAAAACACACACATGGAATCCAAGAAAATGCTGTACGAGGCACAGTACGCACTGCTGCAATAACAACATATTGTCTGAATGAGCTTTGCGGTGCTGCACACTTTCTCGTATCCCGAAAAAGAGACAAACTGTCTTCTCTGAAATTCAAGCTTAATTCTGGTAATCGAGAAACTGGGGTGAAAATGATCGAGGAAATATCCTGTTGACCATATCAGTTGATGGAAATTGCAGGATTATTATATGTAAGTGCCCAATCAAGCATGTTGATGAGGTGATGCATGCAAACTCATTCGCCACCATTTGGTACGGTGCTCTGGTGTATGTGTATTGGACACCAACAAACACATTGTGTAAATGGCTTGGTGCAGGTGCATAAATGCGTTGGACTAAATATGTTGGAGGTACAATATTTTCAAGGAAACGATTTACAGCATTCTTCTTGGCATTTGCTTTGCCTTTCTTCTGAAATTTAAAGCTTTCTACTGAGATACCACCCGAAAAAACCACGTCCAAGTACGGCAATGGATGAGTTGGTGCCGTGTTGGTACATGCAGAAGGTGATTCTGCGTTTGGTTCTACAGAACCTAGATTGTATGGATCTGACACGTCTTTTCTCATTCATTGGAAGGACCTACGAGTCATAAATCTTCGTAACGCTCTTTTTGGTCATGCTAGGCAAGATAACTATGAGTCATACTCATGCGGATTTCTGAATGTTTTTGATGCTCATTGTATTAGAGAATGATACTGGACATGAACAGTACAAATCACCCTTTTTGAGAACATCCTTTTGCATTTCTTTTGGGTTTTCGGTGGGAAATGAGTTCTCTTGTAACCAGAGTGTACTGTATTTCTAAACCAACACATGCTCTAGTCTAGAGAATTTAAAAATCCACGCGTTTTTTTCTCTCCCTTTCTCGCAGGGATATTCTGTCATCCAATTTTTCTTGACAGGCAAGAGTGATCATATTTACGAAACGTCACATCCGTCGAAAAGTAACATTGCCATTTGATGGTTCATTCGAGTTATACTCATCAGAAGCATCTGTTCGCAACTTGCGAGTACTGATGTATACTTGTACTGTATAGGCAACCCCTCTCGATGACTCGATTGCTCATCAACACGCTATACAGTATACCGTACAATGTACTCGTCGGTATCATGTATGACGGCGAGCGTGTATCGTCAGAAATGTAGATGAATAACCGCGATAGTAACACTGTATTGTGCTGTAATGATAGTAGTTGTTGCGCGTCAATCGTTTATCGGGAATTCCTTCGCCGAAGACATTAGGGATGTAGATTGGTGTGGTTGGATCTGACTGTGACGGCGTATTCCAAGCAGCAAGGATTACAGGACAGTACATACGCGGCGATTGCTCCGTTCACTCCACGCAGCTTGACGAGCTCGCGCATATTTTCCTGGACAGCTCGAATCCATCAAGTAAATGATGCCGTTCCGATGAGACTGCTGCCTTCTTCCCGCCGGGGCATTTTCTGGAAATTTCAGTATGCTGTATATCCTTCACGTGTTTCCAGAAAATCAGAATCAATCTCGTTATATTCTATTAGAGACCAGCAGAAGAGGCGGAGGAAGGAAAATCGCGTAGATATTCGCGTCCCTTGAAATCCATTCGGCAATGCCTGGAATTTGACGAAGATACTGTAATACGTGGGTAGAGTTAAACCTATATTGGTAAAAATTCAACTTTTTTTAAAACTCAATTTCGTAAAAATAAACATACACGTTCAACTTTTACAGTATTTTATGGACACAATAAGAAAGTGAAAAGAATGAAACATGCAACTTGATGAGTTTTGCAAGGAAGTAGAAGATTAATTAACGCAAATGAACCCCTGACTCCAAGTTCGTCGTCCTGATGTCGGGGCACTATATTATAGCACGTAATTTAATATCCCAGAAAATCACCAATAGATCACAACCTCCTCTAATTCATCCCTGTTGATCCCCCTGTGCTCATTGACATGCCTTGATTCTCGTGATATTACACAAACATTGCATGAACTTTTGTATAAACGGTATATTGTACATTCGGATACAGTTTCAGTACAGTATGCTACATTATTTGACGACTCAACTCGCTCCAGACTCATCGAGACTCTTCCATTCAGTGCTTTTGTTTGTTCACCTTCCACACGATCCAAACCCTGACGTGATGAGAGCGTGGCTCGTTTAAAAAAGCGGTTGTATCGCAATGATCATCTCGGCTTGTTTGACTCTTGACTATCGATGTTATCCTCAGCGAGTCGCTTTGAGTTGGGCGACGATACGAGAGCCTCTTATCGCTCTCTCTCATCGTGTCTCGTCGTCGCCCAGGCTCAACTCAGGCTGCTAGCTTCAATCTCTCCCTATAAGACGAGCAGCAATGATAATGGAGTGAGAGGAAAAGGTGATGTGATGCAGGGAGGAATCAAATCCATTCCCAAATTCAAGTTAGGCTTATGCAGCCTATATCAAATCGTACTGACGTGTTCTCGGGACTTGACTTTCGCATACAACCCGGTTTCATAGTTAACACGTTCAGCATCTTGTAAGGTATTGACACGTACTCAACAGTATTTTTCTTTCGTTTTAAATGTACATTACACCACTTTGGTCCTCTTTAACGCATTCACCAACGATTCAAAAAATATTATATGTTCCTCCGCGTCATCGACCATCATTCGCTTGAAAACTAAAACGGAAGAAGGACCTGCAGAATTAGAGGTATTTCATGAGACTGTGTGTGCTGTGTGTGCCTGGATGAAGGCTCGAAAATAGATTCTTGTCCTGCCCTTTCTAGTCGGGAATGCCGAGCAGTTACACGTGTCAATGGGTCGTGGAGCTGTCATCATTCGTCCCAGCAAATCCACGCTCAACGACGCTCCGTAAATTTTCCAGCAGGGAATGCCAGCGCGTTTTTCTCTCTCCTTCTTCTTCTTCTGGTCTCGCGTCAACTGGAAAATAAGAATGAATGAATGGATGAAAGGAAGGGAGGAAGGAAGGAAGGAAATGAAGATAAAGAGACGAGCGAGGAGGGGGAAGAGACATATTCTGGCGGGTGACAGGCAAAGTAGTGCGGGGTAGATGGATGACGGGGGTGCTGGCAGAGCAGGGAGCGAACGGATATACGACGACGGTCGCGGTGGTGGTGGAAACCACACCGAATGTATGTGCTGCCGACGAGGACGACAACCGCCGACGAGGAGAGAGACGGAGAGAGGAAAAATACTAAACGACGATACGTTTATTATTTTTATTTTATTTTATTTTTTAAATGAAACGTTCCGTGCCGTCATTAATCACGCGATGGATCTTCCGTCTGATTACTGGCACCACCATGCAGCAACCAGCGCTACAGAGAGTATTCTGAACCCAGATAGGACAGACGTATTTACTGTATTCATTAAAGTTAACTAAGACACTGCACGAGCACGAGTATTTCACTCAACTACAGGATCCCAATCCGAGTAATTTTTCAATGCGGTATTCTCGAAATGGTGAAAGCAAGGACACAATGAATTCATCTTTGCTTCTTCAGGCATTTCAAGCGTGCAAATCGTCTGCACACGCCTGCTCCCTATACAGTATACAGTATACTGCTGAATTTGCGATTATGGTACATGTTCAAGCGCTGCAGCAATACCGTAGATGCAATGTATTGGAAGCGTTTATTATAACATACTCTACCGCAGCAGTTGATGTCGCACATCCGAAATGGGGGAAACATTTTTGGCAGTCCTGTTCAGCTCGAAATCTTATCTTGATGTGGTGAACAATTTTGCGATGCTTCCCAGGTCGATTTGCAGTATTGCAACTGACTTCTGTTCCTCATCGTCACTTGAATCATACAGCAGTTTTCAGATGCGAAAGAATGACTCATCTTTAGGAATAAAGATAATTTCCGACCTCAAATGGAGAAATTGCAGAAACTTTAAGATTTATGAACGAAATTCTTCAATGCCCTCTTTTCTTCTTCTATCTATACAACCCCAAGGCTAGTCGCTTTAATAGCAATAATATCTTTGCAATCTTCGACTGCCAAATGTAAGCCGCGCAAAATGAAATGATATATTTCTTCCGGATGATCTCACGTGGAAGTTGTTCCTTTTTTTTATTACAATAACATCCCTCCAGAGAACGGTTTTATTTATTTCTTTTCTTCCAAGCAATTACTGTACTGTAGTTGGTTAGTTGTTCATTTATCTTCGTTCTGTGTGCCAGTTGGCGGACACAAATGCAGCCGTTCAGAAACACTGCATTGTAGCGAATGAGTGAATAGACCACATTAGCGGGAACCCGACAAGGACGAAAGTAATTGAAAAACATGCGGAAGACGCATTTAAAACAACGGCACGAAATACGAAAGAAAGTAAGAAAATGGGACGGGGATGAACGTACCGACGAAAAGAAGAAGAAGAAGACTCTGTGGAATAGTGGGTCAGTCAGTCATTCTCTTCTTCTTCTTCCTCCTATACAGCTGGGTGTGCATGTGTGTGTCTCCCCAGTCCCCGCACAGCGTCGAGTCGCTTTATCTTGTCGGTCGCATCCCTCTGCTCCTCTGTCGTGGCCCGTGGGACCGTATCCTGAGTCGGGTCATCAATCACGCCTGGAACCCGTTTGCCCGCGCGGATTTCATCCCGCGACACTGGCGCACAAATCACGGCTTAAAGCGCCGACACTCGACGTCGTTGTCGCACACGTGTGTGTGTGTGTGTGTGTGTGTGTGTGGTATAGTTTCCTTTCCTCCTCTTGCCTCCCCCGTCGACCCACGACGACGTATAGGCGTCGACACGCAATCTCACTCGTCGATCTTTTTCGCATCAAGCCCCTGGCTTGAATTTATGACCCGTGCGAAATGTGTGCTGGCAAGTGAGAGAGAGAGAGATGGAGAGAAAAAGAGACAGACGGAGAAGGACGATGAGGCAAGCAAACTGGTGATTTATGCCGTGTTGTGTGCCCGGGGTTTATGGGGCTCATTTGGCGGGTGCTTCGTCGCTCAAAGAACGACGTCGGGGAATGTCGTGGTGGCTTGGCTATGGAATGAATGAGTGATCGGGATAAAATGTGAAAGGTCTGTCGAGTGGTGTCGACTGACGACCATTGCAGTCGCCTCTTTTTTGTTCTGGCTTTGTCTCGTTACTGCTGCGCATCTATACTGTATAGCCGTGGTTCCTTCAATAAATCGGGGGACGGAGCTGCATGATATTGCAAAACCGAACAAGTTTCATCGAAATTGATTTACCCAGTCCCAGCTATGCTCGGTGGTACATAGTACTGTTGCTTTTTTCCTGCGAGAAAGTAAAGTTCGCAATGACGGCCAACGCGAAAGTACGAGTTCGGTTCCTGTAACTTCTGTTTACATTTCTCGCATCTGAGGCCCATATCAATCGCCCATTTTTTTTCGCCACGTTGCTGATGGGAACTGAGACTCTTGAGTAAATACTGTGTTTACTCTGGGTAAAAATATGAGTAAAACGGGCACCAGGGGTTTTCAGTCAAAAATTATGATGAAATTGTCTTCCGGGTAAGACGCAAGCCCCATTTTTAGCTACTCTAAAACGGCAATGTATTTTAAAAAAAAAAAGGACGCCGAACTTTTCAAACCTTTCTAGCGGAATAATTTTTATAATACTTTTCCTTTCAAATTCGAAAAAAAGGCGCCATGTGGTATTCAAGTAATAAGTACAGTACAGGCATAATGGTTTTGGTGCGAATAAGAGACCACGAGCGTATGTACAGATTTGAAAAAACGAGGAATAAAAGAAGGAAACAACAGTACACGTAATACTGCATACCAAAACAAAAACAAAAAAGGCGCGCAGTTTCAAGAACGCAGTACGTATAGCTTTTCTTCATCACGGCATCCTTTTCTTGTATTTCGCAGAAGTCGACGAGGAAAGGAAAGAGTTCTCCACCCAACAGCCGAGAGGGGCGTCGCAGTGGGTCGCCGCTGGTCCAGCACGAGAACCCCGCGCTGGACGTGAGCGGGGACAGCAAGTCGGTGAGCAGCGACGGGGCGTCGAGCCCGAAGCGAGCGCGTGCGGACGACATCCACCATCAGGTACAGTGCCTCTGCTGCATGTGCTCTATATGAGTCTATGGTCTATGCTTTCCTCTTCCATTGCATGATGGCAATGAAACACTTATTGCTGCAACTGTATCGAGTGCGCTCTCTGCATTTCCCTTCAGCATGGCTGTATACAGAATATCATTATGTCTTTCTTTTATTTATTCCTTTTGTTTTATTGCTACTATTGTGTATTATGGTAAGTTGCGCAGCAGATTTTCCATAGAGGTATGCCGTATTTACTCGAGTACCCCAGTACAATAAGTAACACACCCAGCACCCAGGTTTTCCCGGATGAAATTTAGATTAAAGTCGTCTCCCCGAGTAAGACTATTGTTTGTGACTCGACAACTCTGCGATAATTCAAAAAGGAGAACATTCACAGTTCGAAATTAGACGCGAAATCAACCCAAATACGTCTTTACTGCTGTGCTTTCCAATTGTTTCCATGAGAAATTATTTTTTCATATTAAAATTCTTTCGGAATTTCTCTGTACATCCAAGTAGGAAGTGTAATACGCAACTAAAATTTTAGACTTCTTGTAAAATGTATGCTGTACCCGCCTGCGACACGCATCCCTTTTCTTCCTATACATTTTGAGAACAAAAAGGTGCACAGCTGGTATTTAAGAAGTATACTGTATATGGTAATGTGCGAAGTTATGCTCGTCTGGGACCAAATTTGACAGCGATTTGCGTGGGTGTGCGTCACATGGAGCTTGTACATCTTTGTTTTGTTTTTTTGACAGTTCAAGTACGAATGACTGTAAATCGAGACAAAGAGAATCCGATTCAGTATTGAAACTGGAGGTCTGGGTAAACTATACCTGAAAACGAAGAATCGGCAGTCCTTCAATTGCACTTCGTTTCAATGTTGTATAATTGTGGTAGGAAAATGATGGCAGACTTGAGCCTGGTGATCAGACTTTTCATTCCTCCAAACAGCAGCAAAAAATTTCCAGGTAATGAGCTAAAACAAGGTTTTTTAGATACACCCCTCTCTTCTACAACAGCAAGAATCGGTCTCTGACGGTTGCTTCCCGGAGGTCGCAAAAATCCGCGCGAATTTTTTTATCGCTCTGGTGCATACAAAAAGAAAAAGAACAAAAACTCCAGTTGCGCAAGCGCCGCACTTTCCCCTATTTTCTTACAGCCCCGACTTGGAGAATTAACACTACCCAAGAAAGAAAATAGCGCACCCAAAGCCTCTGTCCCTCAGCAGCATCCTCATCTTGTTCTCCTTGGCCAAACCTGTAGATACTCCACAAAAAAAAAAGGAAAGGAAAGGCACACCAACACAAACCTGGTAACCTAAAAATTAAATTCGTTGTCATCGCAGTGTGGCGATCGTTCGAGCTCAGATAACTACAGTATCTTCGTTCCATCTCCTTTTACTGAAGATGTTTCCCTTATAATGATAAATTGCTGTTCCGAACGTGACAATCCCAAATTCCTTTGCAGTACTTCCCAAGGACTCAAACTCTGTTGTCGCTCCGTTCCACTACACTACTGATGTGTATTCCTGCGCGAATTTACAAGCATTCGTCATATGCCCGATGCCCCAGTGTCGAGATCCCCGCATGCACGGATAAAGGAGAAGGAGAAGAAAGCATAAGACAGTCGCTGCGTTCGAATCATTTGTGCTGAGCGTGCAAGTCCGCATTATTCACATCGTTCGTCTCCGACATACCTGCTTGTACAAGTATTGGTCGATAATCAGTTGGGGATGCCATGTTAAGCGCGCTTCGGGGACAGCAGCTCCCAATTCTAAACGGAGATCAGAGCTGTATGCTTTATACTGTACTTGGACGGGAACGGCTGGGATAATGGGAGCAAGCCACCGTCCGAGAGGGTCAGGAGGACACAGACACAAAATCGGACCAAAACGTTTTTTTTTTTATTTTTGCTTTTTCCTTTCAATATCTTTCTTGTACTGCTGATGAACCGCGTTCGTGTCATTTGCATAATCCATCCGTTTGTTTTCTTTTCTCTCTTCTTTTCAAGGCTGTGAGCAGTAAGAAGGCAGACTCGCCGGCCCTGACGTCAGCAGCAGCTGCGGCCGCAGCCTCGGCAGCAGCAGCAGCGGCGGCTGACCCGTACAAACACTTGTCGCTGGGCGCCGGCGCCTTCAAACCCGGCGACGCGCTATCGTCCTTCTTCCCCTACTCGTTCCCCACCCCGACGGCGCCGGCTTACCCGACGGCGCAGGACTCGTGGTCCGCCGCGTCCCTGGCTGCACTGCGGGCCTCAATGGCCGCCTCGTCCTACCTTATGGCCTACAACCGCCACTCGGGCAAGGCCGGCGACCCCGGCGGCGTGCAGTGTCGAGACCCGTTCTGCGCCGGCTGTCTGTCGGCTGCTGCCCAGCACCACCAGCACCAGCAGACCCCCCGTCCCTATGTGTGCAACTGGATCAACGCCGACTCGGCGTCGCCCACCTACTGCGGAAAGTGCTTCTCGTCGTCGGACGAGCTGCTGGCCCACCTGCGGACCCACACCTCGGCTGCAGCAGCAGCAGAACAGGCCCAAGCGGAACTCTTGGCAGCCTACGCGAGGAGTCCGTTTTCAGTGCCACGGTTTCACCCGTATGCTGCAGCAGCAGCGGCGGCGGCAGCTGCAGCAGCAGCAGCAACGTCGTCGTCGTCGTCCTCGGTGTCATCGTTGGCGTCGTCACCCACGGCAGCGACGGCACTGAAGCCACCGCCGCCGGTGTCGCAGTCGGCGGCGTCCCTGTACCCGAGCTTTCTGACGGCTCCAGCGCCGATGCCGGCGGCCACAGCAACGGCCGCCCATCAGGGCTTCTCGCCCTTCAGTCCCACGGCGGCCGCTGCAGCCGCCGCCGCCGCTCTTTACCCGCACTTGCAGCCACCTGCGCTCTCGTCGCTCTTCGGCGCCCATCGGTTATAGTCTCGCTGTAACTCTGTTGTTTCTCAAGTCCGCGTCATCAGCATCATCATCATCGTCCACGCTGAGCCGCGTCGCTCTTACTTTTTTTTGTTTTTTGTTTTGGCTTGTTTTGTTTTGTTCCTTCCTGACGCCGAAACTTGTGCCCGGTTCGAACTCAACCTCACTGTTGACCAGGGTGGAAAAGACGATGAACCGATTCTTGGTTGGACAGGGGATGATGTCGGAATCTGCAGCTGCAGGATTCAGTGTGCCTCGAAGATCCTCGATCTTCCAAGTCAGGAATGTCGTCAATCGGGGAGCAAATTCATAAAGAAATGCTGGGATATTCATGCGTGATTGGTTGTGGATAAAGTTTTAGACTTTCAGTTCAGGTCAGGCGGAGTTTCCCCTCCGTCGTCAGTTAATGGGATCGTAAATTCTTGGTGTATCACTCATTATACGACCGAAGAAAAGGATAGAAAAACATTGTATAGAGGTGAAAACAGTTTTCCTTTTTCCATTAGTGGATCGCATTGAGAACAAGTGAACAACTACTGTATTTCGAAGCATATCCTTCCGGCTTTTAAGTCAGCATAAAGTGTTAATTTCTAGTTTTTAATCTATACTCAAAGTTTTGTCCGAGATTTCGATTGTTGAATAATTCTGAGTCTGACTTCTTCATATAACTTGATGACTTGACAGTGCAGTACAGTGTACAAGTACTGTACTGTACTGTATTGTACCTTTTCCTCGGACACCCAATCGTGCTGTGCTTCGAACTGGCAAATATCTTTCCAAGTGTTCAAAATTGAGTAAAACTGTTCCAGGTTCTGCATATGACTCCCTATTTCACTTCCTAGATAGTGGCTAAGATAATCACGTGGAATTCCCAGCCCTCCGCGTTGTTTTTGTTTCATAACGGATGCGGGTGATCCGGTTGGTTCGTTGGTTGGTAGGTGATGATGATGAGGGGAATAATATATGACCAGATAGCCGTACTAAGTGTGCGGAGAAGACGAATTAAATGAGTTCGGCAACGCTTTCGTCCCCTTGTCGTCAACAGCACCGCCATGGGTTGCTGTCGATGGCATCGAGATGCTGCTGTGAGTGTGACAGGCCTTTGTTTAGCGGATGGCGATTCCGGGGGCAGAATGAGTGCATGTTGGAGACGAGAATCGGACATTGTATTCCACCCTGGTTGGCAGCAGACGACGACGATGGCACGCGTCACCACGACGAAGAATGCCTCCTTACCTACTTACTGTATCTCCGTTGTGATACTTGACTTTCTCCATTGTGCATCGTTCTCCTCATATTCTTGTCGAGACATTTTCATCGCAATCACGGACGGGAAAGAAACAATATAAAAAAAAAAAAAATTGAGCGGGGAAAGTGATTTTGCTCGAATGGATGGGGACAAATTCAAGACGCCGGTGGAGACGGTGACCGATCGGCGCCATTGTTGATCCACGTGCCAGCTGTGCAATACTTTTTGTTTGTTTTTTTCAGTCACACGCAACCCCTGGAATTTTCATGTTTGTTTCCCTCTCTTTTGTTCTTTGGAGCAGTTGTTTCCGGCTTGCGTGGCCGAGTATAGGAATTTCCTTGTCAGCAAATCGTGATCTTCGACACACCACCAGTCATTTCTCAAACTCCCAAGTTTGTTTCATGCTGGCAACAAATGGTTTTGTTCAGTGTTTGACGCCTGTCGGACAAGGAAGAATGAAGCAGAAGAAGAAGAAATAGAGTAGGGAATGATCGTGAAGAAAGGTTTTCCGACTCTGTGTTCCGTTGTTGTTGGTCCCTCGAGGACGGAACTCGCTTCCTTTCTTGTTCTGAAGTCGAATTGGGGCTTTACAGAGAACTACATTACAGTACTTTTCCTCACAGTTTGCCCCTTCCTGCTGAACAGACCGCGAGAATGTGCTGTTTCTTCTTCTTCTTCTTCTTCTTCCCTCTCCTCCTCCTCATCTCTCCTCGCTTTCCTTCCGCTCCGTCGCAGTTTGACAGAGATTGAAAAATAGCCGTCGAGAGGTTATGAAATATTTATCAGCTTTGCGGCTTTGTCGGTGAATCTGGTGCCTGTTTGCGAAAAGATGCCGATATTCAGTGACGGGCGGGCGATTTCCTCATGCATTTTTCTTTTTATTCAGCCCGTGTCCTTCCAGGGGTTGGTTTCGTTATCCCCGAGGGCTCCAGACGAGTCACACCAGGGATTTAAATCATCTTTTTTCTCTCTTTTTTTTTCTTTGTTTTCGAGGAAATATTCTTGCCTTGCGGGATTTTTATCTATTCAGGAGGAATCTCGGTGACCGGCAGGAGAATTGATCGCGATTTGTTGCGTTTTCTTGTGGGCCTCGGAATCGAAGCCGCCTTCGGTCGTTTCTTCACTTGAACGCGAGCGTGAGAGGGCGAAAGAAACGGGAATTTTGTACGCATCACACGACTTTAGTCTATTTATTTGCTCATTTAATCATGGCTTGATCGGCATGCTGTACACAGTATTCCATCGTCTTGTTGCCCTGATGCTTGTCTTTGTCGTCATTATCATCGCCAGGACTGCGTGAACTACACGGAATAATTCCGAATTGTCCGAAATCAACGTCACGAAGATGAGTCTATGTATGCTAGTCGAAAGGATATTGAGAATGAAGTAATTCGGGCTTCGATCTGCAAACATTCCGAAATTAGCACTTTTTAGCAAAAATAAATATGTACCCCGTGTCAATGAACTAACTTCACGAGGGAGGAAGAACCTACAGAGGAGCAATAAAACAGCAAGCATTTGAATCTTTTGCATCAAAATGTTGGATGCAACTACTGTGGATACTTACTATTTTTTTCATGAAACGAGACCAAAATTAAAGTGATATTTGTA